AATACCAGCACTTTGGAGGCAAAGGCAGGTGGAACTATGTGAGTTTAAGGCCATCCCGGTTTACAGAGAAAGTACCAGAGGCTCCAAAGCTATACAGAGAAACCCTGTCTTGAAAAACCAAGAAGAAAGAAAGGAAGAAAGAAAGGCAGAGCAAACCATGAGGTGCAAGTCAGTGAGCAGCACTCTTTGATGGCTTCTGACTCAGTTCTTCCCTTCAGGCTCCTGCCCTGCTTAAGTTCCGGATATGGCTTCCTTTGATGATGATCTGTGATGTGGAAGTTTAAGCTGAATAGCAATCCTCAAGTTTCTTGGGTCATGGTGGTTCATCACAGCAATAGTAACCCTAAGACACCTACCCAGCTTTGAAACCTATAAACCATGATTATCAGCATTGCAAGATATCCCTAAGATGCAATGGTGGCCCTTACATGTAAGTGGTAACCAATAGCTGCCCAATTAGACTTAAAGGTCACTCAAAAGGAAGGAAATAATGCCTTGTTCTATAGACCTAGCCAAGCACCCTTGACTAGTGAGATCGTGAATCTTAGAGGAGATTCTACTATTGTTACTTTACTAAACCAATATAATCCCTCTCTGCATTCTAAATACCTCATAGATACCTACTCTATCATTATTTCTGTCTTACTCCCTTGAGACAAGTTTTCTCACTAAACCTGGTCATAGACTGGCAGCCAACAAGTTTTGGTGTTTCTCTTGTCACAGGCTCATGGCCACACATGGATTTTTACAGGATTGCTGGAGATTCAAACTTAGGGCTTAATGCTTCAGCATCATACCCTGTTATCCACAGAGCTCTTACCCATCATTAAGAATCTTCTTTTGAAGCAGATGGAGACCATTACATAAAGTCATAACTGGTTAGAATGTAGAGAATAGTTGACTCGTGAGATAAACAAGTCAGAGGTGAGTGTGGGCTGTGCTTGGGCACAACTCCAGCCATCCCCAACTTGGAACTTCCTGGTCATTCTCTGAGTGTAGTGGACCCACCCTGGCAGGACAGAAAATCTGAGTCTGGACACATCTCACTGTTGCCTTCTCCCCCATGCCCTCTGCTTGAGTGAGGAGAATAGCAGGAGAGGCCGGACCATCCAGAGTTGCCAAAACTGAAGTCTTGGCCCACCTATGCCACAGGGAGAGGAGAGAAGAGGGAGAGACCCCCACCTGCACCCACTGGAAAAAGGGATGGAAAGACAACAGTAGAAGAACACACTCAACAACAGAAACACTAATATGATACCATCAGAATCTAGGGACTCTACACCAGCAAGATCTGAACATCCCAACACAGACCTTAAAAACAACTTCATGAAGACGTTAGAGACCCTCAAAGAGGAAAAGAGAAAATCCCTGAAAGAAATGGAAGAAAAAACAAACAAAAATACAGGAAATGGAGTAAAAGATAAACCAAAAAAATTAAAGAAATAAACAAATCTCTTAAAGAATGCAAAGAAACCCAAGGGATAAACAAGTCCACTGATAAATCTACAACACACCCCCTACACCTATTGTTCTGGGAGCATTGTGGAAGAGGAGGGAGAAAGAGTATAATAGCCAGAAAACTAGAAGTCTGCTGTAAGCTTGTGTCTAAAATATCGCAGGGAAACTGCATCCATGAAATCTCAGCACTGCGGCTGCTTAAAGAAGACATGACCAATGACCACACCAGTGGACATGCTGTTGTGCATGGGAGTATCTCACCGGTCCCATCCCTAGATGAAGAGCTGTGGTCACTTAGTGACTTCAGAGAAGGAGCAGCATTAGTCTTTCCCAGGGATGATCTTCTAATTGTTATCCCATATGAGGTGGTCTCCAGAAGCCCTATAATCATATACATACAAGCAACACTACATGCACTCAGAAGTTGCATGTAAATATTTATTTGAATATATATATGTATATATATGTACATATATGAGTGTGACAATAATAATTAAAGAAAAAGAGGTCATGAATTTGAGAGGGAGCAGGGTGGGGCTGTAAGAAAAAAGTCATTCTAAAAAATGAGAAAGAGAAACACCCTTGTTTCTTAAGTTTGGTTTCCCTTAGAAAATTCTCCAGTCCAGTTCCACTAATGAGATTTGTTTTAATATTCTTATGACCAGAGTTAATAAACTCAATTGAAATACAAACACACACACACACACACACACACACACACACACACAGAGAGAGAGAGAGAGAGAGAGAGAGAGAGAGAGAGAGAGACCTGGCTCTATTTGGCCAATGTTTGCCAACCTCAGCTGGCCACTTGTTTTTGTAAGCTAGAAAAAAGTAGAAATAGTAGTTATGAGTGTAAGCATTCAGATAAAATCTGAAGGACATTTCATGTCAGGAAAGTATATGACATTCAAAATTTAGTGTTTAGTATTGGAGTATTGACCATGAAGGAAAGAAATTTAAAGGGAGGTGAGGTAACAAGAAAGGCTAACAGAGCATGTGGGTCATGAAAAGAATGAGACCATCTGGGGAGAGGAAGAGGCAGGAAGAGAGGGGGCAGAGGACAGACAGCAGGGACAAATAAGAACAATGCTTGCTGACGCATATATACCAAAATGCCATGGAGCCCATCTCTGGATGCTATCAAAACAGTGAAAGAAATAGCATGGCATTGTAGCCACAGCAAAACACCAAAATAAAACAAATAGTAATGTCCATAATCACAGCATGGAGCACAGTTAGGTCAGAGCATGGCCAATTGCTGTTCTGTCCTATGTTCTGTCTTTGAGACTGTGTCAGCAGAGCTGTACAGGTGTGACAGAGACCCACAAATCCTACAGAATTAGCCATCATGTCCTTTACTCAGAGTTTCCCACCTTTTTTCCCTCTTGTTATGTCACAAAACATGCTATGTGGATTGAGCATTTACTATGAAACTGTTGTTGGACGTTACATTATTCAAGTTCTGAGATAAGACACCCTATTGGGACTTAAAGTCAATGAAAATATCTTTCTACTCAATTGTTCTTTCTCTGCTGCTGATAATAGCTAATACAGAACCCATTTCCCTATCACTCTGCCTGTCACGATCTTCTAATCCAATAAGCTGTTTAGTTACAGCAACTCTTTAGTCCTCATAGCTTCATACTTGCTATTTTCATTCCTAAGGCTACTGTGTTTCACAGATGTTACTACATTTGAATGTTTCTATTAAATACCTCATTTCCTTCCTATTTTTCTTCCACCCTTTCTGTTCTGAGTGGGGAGTGTTGGGACTGATTAAGTCATTAGATTCCCTCTAAGGCTGGGTCATATTTTAAGGCCCTGGATTCTACAAGTTTACTGCAAGTTGGTATTGGAAGGAATGCTTTTCTTTGAGTGTAGCTCAGGTTTCAAAGGTGGCATCTTCTACCACAGAGAGGCAGCATTGTTCAAGGTCAGGCCCTTGGCACTCAGAACCTGTGCATCTCTGGTTATGGTGTGACTGTCCTCATTGCCCTGACATCAGAGAGAGGGAGACAGAGGTGTGAAGTGTGTGAATTGTGACAGTGAAGGTCAAATACAGTTCTAATGTGAGTCTTCACTTCTCTAAGTCTTGTCTCCCTCTCAAGAGTTTTTGTGAGATTTAAGGACAAGTGAGAAGCAAGTGGCACAGGCCCTGATGTGAGTGGGTGCTCAGCAAACATCTGATGACCCTGTGACCAATAGAAAGTGAGTGAAGAGGGGTCCTGTGCTAATGGATTCTCCTGTCTGCCATTTCCCAGAAAGCCAGCTGTGTGCTGGTGTTGGAAAAGACACTGTCCATAATACCGAGGGCCTCCTGGGAGCAGTGCTGAGCTCAACAGTGAGAATTTAGGGGCAGGATCTGTAGGGCTCTCCACACCAGGGTGCTATGCTGGCACTTTACCCCAGGGGACTGAATTTTTGCTTCATCTTAAGAAGCTGTTTTGACCTGAGCAGTGAGATTAGGCTTTCATCTTGAGGCCACCTTATCCCAGGAGCTTCATGCTGACTGTGCTATGGTTTGGAAGGGGGTTTCCAGCCCTCACACACGCCCTCTGATGTTGGAAGATTGGGTCACTTTTGGTTTGGAAACTCAAGATCTGTTGGTTTGGCTGTAAAAGTTTGGTGAAGGTGTGAGTGGGATTCTCTCAGTGAGAAAAGGCAAGAAGGAAACAATAGTTCCTCAATACCCACTGTGCTTCAGACACTTACATTTCTGAACTCTCACTATGATCCTGTGAGATGGCATGATGGCTAGCATTATCAATGTCACAGAAGCAATGTGCCTAGCAGAAATGTCCCACACCCGGAGGGTGTGTGAGGGATAGGTTAGGGTAAGTGAGGTGGGATGGGCCACCCTAATTGTAGGTAGCACCATTGTTCTAGATTCCATCCCTGCATCTTTCCATATGTGCTGTGAGCTTGGAAAAGATAACCTCTCTCTCTAGAGCTTGTGCATTGGAGACAGGTGGCTACTTTGATGCTTGAGAAGAGGAAGAGGCAACGGTTTTGCCTGAGTAACTTGGAACAAGGGAAGTCATGCTGAAGCTGGGGCAGGAGCCTTCCCTCTTTGTAGGGTCCATCTCAAGGGAAGGTCCAAGGGAAGTCATGCTGAAGCTGAGGCAGGAGCCTTCCCTCTTTTTAGGGTCCATCTCAAGGGAAGGGACCTTCTAGAAACCCCAGGAGCTGCATGACGCCTGGTTTTCAGAATCCACTCATATTCTGAGCTGAGCTATGGGTGCCATTTGGACTAGACTCACTGCTGACCACCGTGGGTGTCCAGTTTCTTCATGTGTCAAATTCAACTCCAGCACTGCAAATCCAAGCAGGATCATTTCTAGCCTGTGACTCTTAGCATTCCTCTGTAGTTCTTCTGACCTTCTATTTTAGTTACCTGTCCCTAGTTTCCATAAAGGTGGAAGCTCACCTGTGAAGAATCATCATCTAAGTGGACTAGAAGTCCCATCCCCAGGTGACAGGTCAGTTTACATTTGGCTTTGAATCCAGACTCCCTGGGTTCCATTTAGCAAGCCCCTTACCTGACATCAACATTTTTCCCAGATTTTCAAGGCTTGAGCTTAGTAGGTGGAAGGAGCTTTCGAGGGTACTGTGATCCATGAAGTGTTTCATTGTTGAGCTTGGAAATGATGAAGAAAGGCCTATGGGAAGAGACATTGTGTGATTTTCAGAGAAGCAGCAGTAGAGTCAGGGTAGCAAGGCTGGGGTCCTACCTGCTTACCCCCATGCCCTTTCCTACTCTTTCTTGGAGAGAATGATTCTCTTATACCTGCTTCAGGGTCATGTTCCTACACTGGGACCATGAAGTTCACACACATATGCTGTTATACTCTAGTCCTCTTTGTGAGTCTCCATTCCTTTCTGAGCCTCAGCTCTCTCATATGGCTCTCTGACTTTGTGTCCCACAGGGATAGGTAGCATCTTACTGTATAGTTTAGGTTTGACTTGAGTTCACATTCTTCCTGCATTATTTTCATTTGTTCTGATACTTTAGGAATATGTCCAAGGCCAATTAGTTTTTTTTAATTTTTATTTTTTTTTAGTGTTTGATCTAAAACTTCAAGGCGTGTATACTGTCCATTAGACAGAGAGATTTTGAGAAACTTCTAGGGTGTTCAAGTACTTATTTCAAATAGTATCTGGCAGTTATTAAATGACGTTCTAGGGAGGAAGGTGAGAAACTTCAAAACACAGTTTTGATAGGCAAATAAATTTGAGCATGGAAGTTGAGGATGGAGTGGAATTGTTTCAGTTGAACAACTTAGAGGTGGGAATAGTGAGGAAAATAAGTGAGAGAAGGAAACTGTCGGCAGAATTAGAGGAAACTTAGTAGCAAGAGAGACATGAACAGAGTAATCTACAGTATCATCAGTGGAGTCTTCCTTCCCTATGCCCCTTGTGCAAGGGCCTTCTTGTGTGCAGCCTCAACATGTGAGAACTGCACCTGTTGGAGAGGTGTCAGCGGAACAGCAGG